TATCAAATCTACTATAATGAGCCTACCCAACAACAAGTCTCCAGGCCCAGATGGTCTGACCTATGAATTCTATAAGTTTGCCTTACCACACATTATTGACTCTCTTTTTTCCCTATTCAACACCATTCTTTCTAATGGCATCGTTCCAAGTTCATGGATCAGGTTACTTATTACTCTCATACCAAAAAAAGATAATGACAAAACTCTGGTTCAGAATTGGAGACCTATTGCTCTAATTAACACTGATGCAAAGATCTTTCTCAAGATTTTGGTGGAACGGTTAGCCAAAGTTGCAGGTCATCATCTCCCACATCATCAAAAAGGCTTTCTTCTTGAAAGAAATACCATTGATACCACCTTAAACATCTTAACAGTCACTGAGGTTCTCAAATCTTATACCAACACCCCCACATATCTACTTCAACTAGATCAACAGAAGGCTTTCGACAAAGTGAATCACCAGTATCTCTCGAAAGTCTTAGAACACTTTGATCTCCCACTTATCTTTATTCAACTAGTTAATAATATCTTTGGCCAACAATCAGCCAACATCACTGACAATAAACATTTATCCAATGAATTCAGACTAGAAAGAGGAGTCTGGCAGGGTGATCTGCTCTCCCCTATTTTATTTGCTCTCTCAATAGAACCATTCCTTGCAACTCTGTCCTCCTCTTCTTATCAAATCAACAGCTACCTTGACAATAATCAGGCCTACGCAGATGACACAACTATTCTAGCTCTGAGTAATTTACATTTAGACTTCATTTGTGATACTATCAAGAAATACGAAAGAGCCTCTAATGCAAGAGCCAATCTCAACAAATCAGTTCTTATCCCACTAAATGACCTTGCCAAAGCCAACATACATTCCTTACAAAACAAATACCAGTTCACTATTCCTAATCATAATGCTGATATCAACATCCTGAGCTTTCACTTCAACACCAACTTTACAATGCATCATTCCACCTGGCCTACACTGATCAAGAAACTTGAAAAAAAACTTTTTCTTTTAAAAATTAGAGATATCTCCCTCAAAGGCCGTGCCTTAACAGCAGGCTCTCTATTGGCTTCCAAAATCTGGTACACATCCTATATTTTTCCTCCCTTAATGTGACAAGTAGATACTATACAATCTTTATTAAACAGATGGGCCAGAGATGATTCTAAATCTCTCCCCTCTTCTGCTATTATTCAACTTTCAAAAAACAAAGGTGGCTGGAATCTTCCTAACATCAAGTCTGCCGTCAAAGCTTGGTCAGCCATGACAACTGCCAAACTTTTTCACGCCAAAGAAAATTGGGCCAAACACCAACTCTCTATGATCAGCTCTTTCCAAAGAAACTTCAACAAAATCTGTCTTCAATACAAAAAGAAAGACTGGCTAACAGCCTACCAACCCTTTGTAAAAAATTGGTTTCTGGCAGGTAGACCAAATTTTCTTGCTTCCTCTACCTCCCTCATCACTACCAAATTAAAAAAAGAAATATATCTCAAAAAAGTGTGGCCGGAAGTTAAAAATGTGTTATGGAAAAACCTGGGCATAATCAACCTTCCTTCACAGACTCACGTGAACGTGTAGAGATGGCATCGTAGTGCACTATCCCTGAAGGAACGGATCTCCTGGTCTTCCTCCATCGACTCTATCTTCTGTCGATGGTGTTCTACGTCTCCTCAAATGTACTAACACTTTCTTTAAGAATGCTCATTCACCAAGATGATTATACAAGAAATTGTACATCATCTTGATGGATACGTTACCTTTATCCATATCCTAAATCAACATCCTAATAACTTCTCTCTCGCTACTCTCTGACTCTCCTCCTGGCTTATTGATTACGTTTAGCAGACTTCTGCTAGACTTAACCTCAATATCGAAGAGTCCGAAACTCAAATCATAAAAGCAGCTCCGCACATTCTCCTCAGAGATGCTAAAATTCACCTAGATAATTTCTGAAATAATAAATTTACCAAACAAATAGACCTACTATATAAATCACTTGTATCTTAATTCCATATCGCGCATTTATTCAATAAACGGATTCTTGCTTCACCCTCTCTTTTTGGGAAAAAAAAAAAAAAGCATCAATAAGACTTCCAATTACTCGATCAAGATTGTTTGCCAGAGAAACATATATGCTTGTTTCAATTTGTTTAAATAAAAATTTCCTCAACTTGTAAGAATAAGATTGATAGAAATGAGACTCTTTTCTCTAATAAACTGCAGAGAATCATGAACAAATCTTTTGCCTTCTTTTGTTACAAAGATTATATTATTCTTATTTTATCGTCATTATGGTCTTTGTATTTTGATCAATGAAATTTCATAGTTCTATTACGGCAAGAGTATTATTGATCATCCGCAATTATATTGATGGTTTCTTTTTGACTTCATCCACTAATTAAGGGAAATATTGAAAACATCCAGGCTATTACAATACACTTAGAGATGTGCGAGTCAGCGATCTTTGAAACTTGAGAAAGTTTTATACATTAATCAATGGTAATGATCGCACTTGTCACATTCTCCAACTGAATCATCATAAAGTGAAACTTAAATATGTAAATAGTTTGATATCGGTGAAGATTCATTATACTTAACTTTTAGTAGCAAACTTTATCCATCCAGATTCTTTCAATGAAAGATTCTAAACTGTTAGTTCAATCCATTCGCCATGTATCTACCTTCACTTCCTCACTTAAATATTTTTCAATTAGATTTACAGCAGCCAATTCATTTTGAGTCCAATCACTGTTAATACTTTATTCTTATAATCCCTGCTTTTTTTCTCATATGTGATTTTTCAATGCTATCACCAAAACCCTTCTGTACCACCAAATCCAACTTTAAGATGTGGTGAATTATATCCTCAATTTTGTAACCAGCTTTTAATAATAGGATGTTGTCAATATCGTTTGTTCCTGATGGATATCTTATAATTTTGTACCCAGCTGCCATCAAAAATGTCAGCAATCATGATCCACGTGATCATACATCGGAATCAAGAATCACGGGAGAAGAGTCTCAGTTAACCCGTTTGTCAATCGATAAACATATGGCGTGATTTTTATCATTGTTAATGGGTAAAGGAAGTTTGGGATTTTAGTAATTCAAAAGACATGGGTGTTCTGGTGGGGAAAAAGTGACGATTTAGGGTTTATACAAAGATGGTGGAATAAAGATGGAAAGATAATGACAATAGTGTAATGTCAGCGCTTTACCTTTTGCACCGCATTTTCAATAAAAAATTTATAATGATGTGAGAAAATTTTAACTGTAAACCATATTTTAGGAATGCGTTCACCCAATCGTACTTTATTTGACTACATCTAGCTAATTTGTTCAATCTTCACTCAAGAAAACTTATAACATAATGAAAATAACTCGCTATCATGCAAATACTCCACTATGACATATCGATATGCTGTAGTAATAGTTTTTATATTTAACAATCGATACATCACGATCATCTATGATATTCGTGACATCTGTTATCCCTTATTCTTTTATATAAATAACAGTCTTCTTTACAATTCTATATGTTTGAAAAAAGTATGCTGACATAATCAGCCGAAAAAATTAGAATGCTAGTTCTATCATAAAGCCTCCACGTTGGTAGAAAATGACCAAAGATAACATATAGCACCTTAATGGTTGGAAGTAGATCCTTATTTGACTTGTAATTTCGTGTTTATTTATAACATTTAATTTTATTATATTCGAAAATGGATTTGATGTCAGATTGGTCAAGACACTGAGTTGTGTATGGCTGGGGGCAGTTTGGACCCGTTTTCTTGTATATTACTTTTTATTCGAATGATGAATTCATGGTTTTTCCTTTTTTTATTCCTAAATATCAAATCCATTGGAGTGTGGTACACGGGACATCTGAGCATTGACCTCCACATGACGAATGCTCATTTTTATAATTTACTCTTCCTTTCTTTTATTTTTATTGTTGAAATTGATCGAGAATTATTAAAGCCATGTATTCCGTTCTAGAACAAATCAATAAAATTTATTCCATATGAAGGTAAAATTAAATTCATATTTTTCTTCAGTATACCACACAGAATTTGTCGAGTGACTTGCAAAAAATCTAGAGATTTTGGTATTAACGTCAACTGATTTAAATAATCAATAATCACAAGATCACTTCAAATTTTTTTAATTTAATCTATAGTTACACATCAAAATTGTTCGCAAAAGCATTTCTAACTTCTTGTTTCGTGTCAGGAGTCATCAAATCAAAGTTCTTTTTCAATTGTAGATTCGTCACTAAGTTTTTCTTCAGTTTAATAATTCTCTACTGAAGTACAGTGCGTAACAAAAAAACCGGAATTCTTAATTTTCTCCATAAATATTTATTTAAATAACATAAAAATGTACTAGAGAGCATGATAAACAACTTATGACTACTTGAATACTTATCTTATTAAAATTTTTTTAATTTATATTTTTTAAAATTAAAATTTTTAATAATAAGAATACTTAAAAAGATTACTATAATTAAACTCGATTATTATTTGCAAATTAATCTTAAATAAACTTGTTTACTAGATTATCAAGCATATATATTTAAAATTTTATATAATTTAAATAAATATTCATTGAATAACAAACAAAAAAAAGATTAAAAAAGCATTTTAAATTTTTTATAATTAATTTTTTCTATTAAATGCTTTTAAGTAAACTTGTTCACTAGATTATCAAGTATATATATTTAAAATTTTATATGATTTAAATAAATATTCATTGAATATAATAATTCTGGTTTTTTTGTTACATGTGTTTTACTTTTTTGTTATACATTCTACATAATATCTAGTGAAACAAGAATATCAACAGTTTAATAAAAGAATATAAGTGAGAATATGAATAATAATATAATTTAAAAGCATAATTCAAATGAATAGTAAGAAAATAAATATAATAAAAAAAATATTGATTTTGTTATCATCATGTCATAGAAAATTCAACTAATATATTTTTAATGCAAATATAATTTTTATTTTTATTGAGAATTCTAAAAAATCCTTAGCTAATTCCATCAAATAGTTATGTATTAATTTGATAATGATAGTCATAATTAGAGATGTGCTTATGCATATTATACATATATATATGTATACACATATATGTGCATTATATATATAGTTACTAATCAATATTGTAAATGACTCATACATAATTATGTATATGATTAAGTTTAGAAATCATCACTAATTAAGATATTTATACTCAATAAATAATGATAAATAAATATATTTATACTAATATAGAATATATATATAATAATAATTATCTTTATTATTGAAGTTCTATATGAAAATATTAAATAAATTGATCATATTGCTGGATTTTAACAACAGTATGTAGAATGTAAATACTGTAAAAAATCCTAAATATCAATACAATAATTTAGCAATTCAATGTAAGTCATATCTGTATGTATGTCTAAATACTTTAATTGAAGTTAAATGATTATTTTTTAGTTTGAGCTTTGAAAATCCAGAAATTGCTAATACAAGTTACTCAATACTAATTCATCTGGAAGTCAACTTATGCAATATAAAGCAAAATCAGATCTTTTTAATAATACATTAACATGGAAGTACATTAATAATATTGATCCAATTACTTGGTGGATTGTAAATTTATATAAGTAGCATCTGAATTAACATAATTAGCACAATGTATCTTAATAATTCCAATATTATCTGCAGCTTCTGAACATAACTGTTCAGCTTTTGCAAATATTTCATAATAAAAAAAGAAATCAGTTAATTAGTAAGCATGTTTTTAAATTAGTTTATATTTATAATAATTATAAATTACAAACTCCAGATAATCAAAAAAAATTGTCAAAAAAAGCATTAATGATGAAATAAGCATTAATAAATATTATCCTGGTAATGAGAGTGATGAAAGCAAATATCAGGATAATAATGAAGTGAATATCAGGATGGTAATGATAATAAACAATTTAATATATCAGATAATAGTGATGATATATTAGAAACATTAAGTGATAGTGATAATTATTGATAAATGTATATAATAGTTATAGAAAATAAAATCATCATTAGTTTTATGAATTCACATCGCGTATTTGATTACTATATATGTACTGTACATGTAAATCATTATACGTGTATATACTATGCGCATATGCGTACTATGTGCATAGTGCACATAGTACGCATAGTGATGTACTATACACGCATTTGCCCATCTCTAGTCACAACCGACATCTCTTCCTCATACTCGAATTATTACTACCTTTCATGTTACAATTATTTATTTAATGTGCTAAGATACTATGTAAAGCGGATGAGAAATTTTTACCTGTTGACTCGACTTCATACATAGACTGTGGTGCTTGAAATTGGATTGTATCACCTACCATGCCTCTTCAACGACTCCTAGCAATTTTATATGCAAAAATAAATCACAAACTAAGCTTATTCTTTATTTTTCTACAAAGTCTCTTATATGTATAGGATATAAGAGACATGTACGTATCTGATATCTTGTTATTGTGTTGATAATAATCAATGTGAATGCTTCTCGATAAATTCACTTGGTGGCAAAAAATGAATAGTACACGTGAGGTTTAAGAGGTAAACTATCAAATTGCTGTAGGTTCCTATGTGTAAATATCCTAATCCTAACCGAAATGCAATTAATATTCATATTTGTTTAGCATTATCAAGGAGGTAAAGACTTTATGATATGGGTTCGTTAATGAATAAATAAGAAGTATAAACCCTTTCTCTTTTTAAATTACTGCTAATGAGAAGAGGTAATAACTCAAATTGTTTTAAAATATTTTACTTTGCCTCTCTGGTTATATATTTTTTACTATTTAAAGATTTCGATCGTGATTGAAGTGTGTAAGATATGTTGATTAAATGAAGTGGCAAATAATAAGTGAACTATTGCCTGATATTGATTCACTAAAAAAAGGAGTAAATACCATTATGATAAATGTAAAGTCAAAAGATGCCCCGTTGTGATAAGATAAGAAAACTAGATTCTATTAAAATAACATTTAATGGAGGTGCTTCTGATGTTTGTATCAAATGTGTGAAAATACAATTTATATAAAATTCATACCAGATGATCCTGACTCATACAAGTTAGATTGAATCTAGGATTCATGTCAGGACAGCTTAATGTGTAATTTGATCTTGCTCCCTGTTATGAAAATGGAGAAGGAACAATTAAAGATTATTTACGTATATTGATTTCTCATAGAGTTGAAATATACCTTCTAATCTCAATCATAATCTGATTTATTAGAAATTTGTCTGAGTGCTGAGAAAAAGAGTAAGAAAAAAAAGAAGCGGAGAGGAATAAACCTGTTTATTGCTTATACTGACGCTGTTTTAAGGTTTGTGAGATAGATGAGTGTCATGATATTCATTATTCGGTTGCCTTCTTTTTAAGGGATAGGTGTTGAGAATTTCTGAGGCGATAGTTTACATAAAAAGGTAGCAAAAAAATTTTTTATTGCCTTTCTCCAAACCAATTTATTTGTCGCTCTCTCCATCTAAATAAATTGGTTTGCATAAAATCCAATATTAAATTATTCAATAAGTTTAATATCAAATTTTTTTTATCAAATATACTTATTAATAATAATAAAAATAATTATGTATCTTTGAAAACAATAGCGGTAATAATCAAGTTATTTTCAGTTGTATCTTATTTACGATTATAAATAAATTAAATAAGTATTTGGTTGCATTTTAACATAATGGATTAAAAAATACTCGATAATTGCCCTGCTGTAGAAAAAATGAGCGATGCAAATATAGGCTTTTCAAAAAATAGAGATTATTTTATTAGAAAAAATTAATTTTTAAAAAAGAACAGTTGATTGATTATTTATAAAGACTACATCTACCTTTTCAGGTAAAGAATGTTTCAAAGTTTAATTGTTATTTCTTTCTCCTCAATAGTTTACTTTTCTTTTCCCTCTTATTTGTTTGAGTCATATAGGTAAAATCGAAAAAAATAAAAGTTTATCATAAACAAAAAATCTACTTGTAGCTTTTAGTTCTGGAAATGTTTTTGTTGCGAAACCCGACAAAATAATTTGGATTGAAAATCAATACTTACAAATAAAAGACTAAAAAAATTTAAAAACCTCTAAACCCATTAGTCGTTATGAAACAAATGACAGAGCAAATGAATTAAACTTTGTTAAAGAGTTTATTCTTGAGAAATTTGCTATTTTTTTTAGAATTAAAGGAACGAACATCTCTCGCTCACTCTCGCTCTTGTCACTTTTGTTTTTGTTTCTCATTATGCTCATATTTTTTATGCATTGCGCATTTGTTCTCATTTATTTTTTACTTGCTTTGCCATTCTCGCTTTTACCTATACTAGCTTGCATTTATTCTGAAACCCTGATCCAAAAAAATCACTTAACGTGAACCAGCTGAAAATTTATTAATTTATAATCCATCAACCAAATATTTCATATTTTCTCCCTCTCTTAATAATTGGTTTGTTGCCTTATTGAAAAATTATTTTCAAATCGGGCATAATAACATTATTTTTTCAACGCGCATAGTAACACTATTCCCAAAATGCATAATAAAAATTTGTGTTTAACAAAAAGAAAATATACTCACATATTAAGGAATAGAGGGAAAATGTGTTATTCAATAATGAAGTACATCTATAAAATAAAAAATGTAATATCAATATTAATTTTTAAAAAATATACCTTGCAAAATAAAATCTGTTCTTTTATATTATTGTATTTTCAAATGCTGTGTTATGCTTTAGAATTTTGTATTTTGAGATAAAAAAATTATTAGTAAAATACAAAGAAACGAAATATTTAGCTTATTCCTGAGTGGTATATTACTGTGTCATTGCTTTGTGTATTATCGTACTTCAGAATATTGTGCTTCAGATAGTTTCTTCACATATTTTTGCTTTGCTTACTAATCCTTTTAATATTAATTTTTCATGGCCAGATTCGCATTAAGAATGAGGGAAAAACTTATTTTGCATTGAATCGATATGAGGAGATGACAGATTTGAATGCCATAATGGAGATAACACTGAAAAATGCTGTATTAAGAACTCGATCAAGAATATATTCGCTTGGAAGAAGCCTTAACAAATATAGATACATCTTTGTTATTAAAATAAATCAACTATTTGGACGGAGATTTCTGCTCAGCCAAAATCTCCATTTATGATACCCATCCCATCATATATATTTATTTCATTGCTTTAATAATTAAATTGCCAGTTGTTGTTTGTGTACGGCTGCACCCAAAATTCTATATATACCCAAAGTTACTAAAAATTATGATAGTAATAATTAATATGTAACATGTATATATAATGCATTAATTTTATGGATAAAAAATACTATACCGATACCAGTAAAATTTTTGAATTGATCATCAGTGACAGTTCCGTATCCGTTATATTATGTTGATCTTATCATCATCACCTTGCGATGTACATGTATTAGCACCATTAAACGTATTACTGACAATTATTCATAAAAGATAAGAGAAAAGATCATGCTTGCATGTTGTTGTAATTTGAATATCATACTTTTTATTTATTTTGTTTCACATATTGTGCTTCACATATTGACGTTGCTCTTCAGAATGCTATACTTTGATTGCTGTATTCTTATTGTGCTTGGACAGTAGTTTGCTAAAGAATTGAAAATAATATTGATAAGAAATTTATAATGATAAAATGAAAATAGTGAATTCAGTAAAAAGCATCTATCATCATATAACATATTTTCACTCATATTTCTTGATATCCATTTAGTAATATATAAAATTCAAATTTGAAATCATATTCTTAAATAAATGAAAATGGTTTTATATTGTTTTCAAAAAAATAAAAAATATTCTCAATTATGTTCTTGAAAGTTTAAAATTTGTTCTCAAGCAAAAAAAAATTACAATATTCTCTGAGAATAATAAGTATATTGAATTTTATACACTGCCATTTAGTATAATTGAAATAAATTTTTTTATAAGTTCTTCTTTGAAGTCTTTCTGGTTGGCCAAAAGTTTGTTAAATATACTTTTTGCCATTTTAATTTTTTGTCATTTGAATATATAAAGTCATTGATTTCAAGAACTGACCTTTTCTTTTACTGTCTTGCTCATCATCCAGGTCAATATCTAATTTGCTGTCTTGTTCCTCATTATAGTCATCGTCTATTTCGGTCTCAAAGTCATTATTTACTTCTTCGTCCTTCTCTTGCGCTTGTCCACCTCCTTTAGTGTCTAGGTCTATAATTAAAAATATGTTATATATTGTCAGTAGTTTGTTATTTGTAAATAATAAGTTTATCTTACGTTTGAATTCAAATAGCTCTCTTACTATGACAGAAAAAATTGCCAATCACCGGATCATATTCAAAGATCTCGTTGATACAAAGTTGATGCATCATTTTTGATTAGATTCTTTTGAATATATCCTAATCATATTACAAATTGTTTGGTATATGCATTTCAGTATAAAGCTATATTTTCCCCTGAAATCAGCATCTTTTGAGCGAATGTTCAAGAGATGAATGGTTTGTCCCAGGATCCTGTTACTATCAATCTTTTTCATTGGTACACATTAAGTAATTAGACTAATAGATATAATTAACTAATCAAAGAAAATAAAAATTATTACTATTCAACTCTTTTTGAAATATAATTTCAATAGATGATTAAGTTTGGTTTCAAATACGGGAAACGATATGATTCTTGGATCTCATGGTGAAGCTATTAAATGTGTGAAATATAGCAAAGAAAATAGTATGTATTTTTCACATGCAGCTTAAACATTTAAAATAATCATTATTTTCAAAAATCAAGTGACGCAAGTAGTTACCGGACACGTAAGCTACATCTGAGAAACAACAATAAAGCATTGTGACCTTATGAGTATAACTTATTTTTAAGTGATGAGATATTATGAACGTCATATAATCTTACACTCTAGAGAACGGGTTATAACGTTCTATAAGGCAAATGAGATAGTCGTATACATATGTGTAGAACAATAGTAAAGATCCGGATTTGTAGAGCTATACACGACTGACAAAATAGCGTCAGCTGGCATATCATATAATTCGTATTGCTGCATGCTTACAAGGGTTATAAAGGTAAAGCGAAAACTCTAATTTGCACGTAATCGGAACCAACTGTTGTAAATCTGTATAATCCTCGAATCAGCACGATGTGATTTGTCGATAGCTGTTGAATTGTTGACGGAAGAAATGTGGCGCCATTTTGCTTCCAAGGAAAAACAAATGACAATCTCCACATATAAAAACTAGCACTATTGTCGGTCTTCAAGCAAATCCCCTCTGATTAACATACTCCTTTCTTATCAATGACCAGAACCTCAACTCGTTAAACACGAAGTAGACGAGACTAAGCTGCCTTTCTTTCCTATCGAATATCAACCCTGGAACTGAGATTTCTTCCAACGCAACTACAACTAACCCTTCTACTCTTGAGCCTAAATAATGATACACATGGTAGTACACACATCACCCCTACACACACATATTCACCGGGGGATGGTGAATATGTAAGTGCTGTGGGTGTGCTGCTATATCGGCTCTATCGAGACAAATTAGTGGTCATGTAGGATGTACGTTATGTGGTTTTCGTTTTTTATGGGATAAGGTATGGTTTTCGTTTTTTTTGAAAAAAGAATAGTTAAAATTTGGATGCATCAAACGCGTTAAAAATAGATGGAACCAAGACTCATGATTGTAAAAATCGTATTAATTGTTAAAAAAAATGAATACTGCGATGAGTGTTTAGTTCACAATATTCATGATTATAGTGACGATATTACTGAAAAAGCATTATTGAATGGTCTAATGGTGATAAAGATATCGACAATCTAATAAAAGAATACAACAAATTATAATGAATGAATTTTTATTGAAAGATATATCAACGTTGAATGATTGGACTATTGGATTTCGAATACAAGTGGGATCATGAAGAAAATATATTTAAACGATGGGGAAAGAAAAGTAATAAAGTCTTTTCAAATTACTCAAGAGCTTATACACAAGGTAAACATAAACATTTCTAAAGCGAATGGTACTGTTGGGATCCTATTCCAGAAAACATACCAATTGCTTTTATAGACAATATTACCAATCACCAAGATTAATAACAGAAAGTATTCATACTTCGAAGGATTGTGTGTTGTTTCATAAACTATATAGTATTAAAATCTATATATAATAAAAATAGAAAGATAAATTAAATAAATAAAAAAAGCAGGATTTATCATTTCTTATCTAGTATCTTTATTAGAAAAATAAACTAAATATAATAAATTTATATCTAATAAAAAAAGTATAAAATAATAAATAAAATAATAAATTCAAAAAATCAATTAAAATGATCAATTTTCTATCTAAAATGTGAAATAAAACTATTGATTTCTTATCATCTAAATAAAGGATAGAATAATAGGTTAGTTAAATAGTTAATTTAAAATGAGGATGTAAAATAAAATTATCAATTCTTATTTAAATAAAAGATAGAATAATGCATGAGTTAAATAATTAATATCAAATAAAATTAAAACGAAAATGTAAAATAAAAGCATTGATTTCTTAACAACTAAATAATGGATAAAATAATGGGTATTAATATCAAATAAAATTAAATGAAAAATGAATATTACTATCAAAAAATTAAGATAATTAATATATGTAGATATTATTATTATATAATAGCACAAAAATATGAATAAATAACTACAAAATTAGATTTTGCATACTTTATCTAGACATCAACTTTAATATTAATTACTCATGCAATAATTCTTTTATTATCTTGGCTGACTTCAATGCAACCATTTCTTATTCCAAAGCTTTTGCATCTTCACTAAATTCTTCCTTGGAAATTTTCTCAATATTAGTAAACTCTTTGAAAGGTATCCTCTCAATATCAGGTGTCGATTAAATAAACTCTTCGATTTCATTATTTAGATTCTATTTCTTTAGTATGCCATATGTTTCAAAGAGGACAAGCGATCGCCAAATTTGTATCTTCTAGGTGCGCTATCTCGATACGGAATCGCACAGAAATTCCATTATCCGATTCGTCAAGTTATGGAAAATCCAATGGTAGTAATTTTTTGTGGTATCGATCACAAGGTATTGAGATATCACATATGTTTCTTATGTCACAATACTCTCCTTATGATTTTTGATGTGATGAAAAAAATAAACTCAATTTCTCAAAAACTACTACATGTATATAAAATTTTTTATTCTTTTTTGTTTGAAAGTAAACTCTCAAAAATTTAAAAGTTTTAATTTAATATTTTGCTTATTTAACTTGATATTTAAATTTAAATATCCACACTGTATTTTCTAAAAATATGATAGCGATCTTATTAAAAAGAACAATAAATAGCTAACATTAACTTTAATGTTAATACATACTGTACATGTATGTATTGTCTGTACTATGTACAAGACCGATAAATTTCATTCCTCAACTTATTCTAAAATTAGCAATTTCATAGTGCAGAACTAGTCATGAGATTATTCTTTTTCTTTCATTCATAGTCGTAAATGACAAGTCTGTGATTCGATTGAAAATAAAAATATCATGATTATTTATTATTGTTCTCAAAAATTTGTTGATATTCTTTGAAGCATTTAGTTTGAATTTGTTATAAATATGGGAGCTTTCTTTCGAAAAAAACTAAAATCATTTTTATTTTTCAAAATGGAAAAAAGAAAAATCACTCTTATTCCACTTCTCGTTGCCATACTGTTTAATTGCTTTTCTTATTCACTTCCGATACCAATGTATGTAAACGACATTATTTGAAAGGAAATTAAGATTTTTTTATCAGATTTCTTTATTTTACAAATTCCACATTTTTATAGGCGAAATATTTGTTATCCTACTCCCTGGGATTGCACAGGAGGTGGAGATCAGAATAGAAATCCTGAGTATATCCAGAAGAGATTCTTGTAATGGGGATTTGGAAAATCATGACAGAGATTGCGATACAGAAGAACAAGAATACTCTGATATCTTTCCTTTTTCTCCTAAATAAAAATTTTTTATCATGAATATTATACTTGTGATTAAATAAATTACATTCCATATTATTACCTGTAATAAAATGACACCAAGATTATTGCATATTAATTATTGTAATATAAAAGAAAACTGAAATAAAATGAAGTTTTTGGAGAGCTTGAGATAATATTCAATGAAAAAGTTTTGAAGTTAAGGCTCATATCTTACAATCAAAAATTTGTTTATACATAATGATTTAACGCATTGTTTGACGATATTTCCTTCTAACTACATGTTCGTAATTCTTCAGGATGTTAAATGATTTACAAACATAGCGATAGTGCAATACCATGTACATGTACGAGTAATATGTAACTAATCATTAAATGCATATACAGTTACACCTCCATAAGTGCACCCCCCCCATTGGGACCATAGTAAAAAAAATAAAAAGTGTACATTTAGAGAGGGTGTGCATTTATAGAGGTCAAAATATATAGAGCTCTTAAAAGACCAGAATATACCGTGCATTTAGAGAGGAGTTATATAGTGTGTGCACTTAGGGAGGAGCACTTAGAGGTGTACTGTAATTATCAAATATTTAACGAGTTAGAATATAAGTATTTGATTAACAATTTAAATTATTATGATAATATTGCACCCAATGATATTTGAAATGTAACGCCTTTATATCTCTCATACAGTGCCCTAGCAGAATATTGTGGACACTTTTAAAGCAAAATATTTAAATAAAATAAAAATTCTTGAAAGTATAGTTTTCAATCAAAAAAAAAGAAAAAAGTTTCATACAGTAGTTTTTGAGAAAACTTGGATTTAATTTTTTTATCAATACGAAAATCATAAGGAAATTACATATATTATGATATGCGATAACTTCAAAAATTAACGCCATTTGATTCGACATTACTAGACGAATCGGATGGTGACATTTTTGTGCGATTCTGATCACTGGGTATCGAGATATCACATGTTTTTCTTTCGTTTTAATACTTTATTAATTGATGAAAAAATTATAGATTTTTTAAAATTTAAGTTTTCAAAAACTACTTTATGAAATTTCTTTTTTTGTTTGAAAGCTATACTTTTCGAGAATTTAAATTTTTATTTTTTTTTTAATATTTTGCTATATTTAGCTTGATATTTAAAATTTAAAAGTGTCCGCAATATTCTGCTAGGGCATTGTAAATAAGTAATATGCATAGTATGTGTCAGTTAACTAATAGAACCATTTGAACCGGTTCAGTTCGGTTCCTGTTCTATTTAAATAAATAGAACTAGAACTGGAGCCGGTTCAAACCGGTTCCAGTACTATATTTTTGAACTGAACCAAACCAAACTGAACCGTTCCAACCCATCCTAAATGACATTTTTGTTTTTCACATTATTTCACCATACACGTGCATTTTTTTCCTTCATTACCCTCTATAAAAATCGACTTTTTTGTATTTTCGGATTGTCATTATGATACATTCCTAATTGATACATGTGCATATACATGTATATTTTGTATTCGCCAATCTTTTTATTTTAATAGAATTCAATATGTATTTTTTTATGTATTTTTTTATGTATTTTCCTTTTATGTACTTCTTTTGGTTCTCAAGCTTGTTTCGTCCTTTATCTAATGTAATGGACTGAATTTTTCATCATGAATTTCATACTAATGATGGTCTCTTGATCAAGTCTTATTAATACATGTATTTCATTTTATGCAAATCATTTAACATAGCCATTGAATAAATGTCAATTACATGTACATGTATTTATAAAATTTAATTAGGATGCTAACATTAATAAGGCAAGAAATTGTCAAGAAATTTTAGAATAATTTATTATCGTTTTATGTATAATATGCTTTTTTCGGTTCATTTATACATGAATATATTTTTATTTGCTTTTATATTATTGTGATTTTTAGAATTTGGAATAAAGCCAAAGCGTAGTTGGGTAAGAATTGAAATAATTTTATTAATTATTTTCCTTCAAATTACACATATAGCAGTATCATGATATATAGCTAGTTTTCAAGCTTCTTCTAATATTTCTGGTACCTGATAACTGACTTTTATCTTTATAGTGAGTTTTAAATCTTCTATAAAATATATGATTTGATCTAGATTATTCATGTCTGTGATTTGTTCAACTATATTTCTGAATTTTGTGTCATAGTCTTGCATAAATCCTATTTGACAAA